TTAGTAGTTAAAAGAAAAGAAAGCAAAATAATTCTCGTAGCAACAACGAGCAAAATGGGAGCAACCTAAACCATGAAAATGGAGTTGTGAGAGTAAGTATTGTCTTGCTAGGTGAAGCAGTGAAGTGCTACACTAAAAAAACATCATAGCTGAAATCATCACTATCTTACGCTTTGACCTGAGTAGCATAGGGCACATGGAATTCTAGTAAATCACTAAGGACCAGCTTGAAGGCTAAATATTCCTAAGTGACCAACATTAAAGTAGTATCATGAAGAAGTTTGACTAATAAGATAATAATTCTAATTATAATCCAACTAGAACGTAACTTATTTTAGTGACTAGGGTTGCTCTTGTGCAACTCTTTTTTTTTTAACTCTACCATAATTTTTTTCCTAAAATATCTCTGACAAAAGTTTAAATTATTAAATACAAAATAAAAAATACTTTATAAAATTAAACAATTTATAAATTTTTCTATTTTTATTTTATATTTTACAATGATTTCTTTTTATTTTCACATTTTGTCTCTATTACATGACTTTTTTTTTCTCTTTATTATTCTAAGTTTCTTTGTTTTTGTATCACCACTTTCTTTAATTGTCTTCAAATACATAATTATATAGTTTGATTTGGTTCAATTTAATATAATTTGAAAATCAAACTATAAAATATCAAACGATTTGGATCAACTTTTTCAGATTTTGTTTATTATTAATTTTTTTTTTACAATTTATTTATTATTGTAAGGATTTTAATCTATTTTTAAATTTATAGTAAGTAATAATTTAAAATTTGAAATGATTTCTTTTAAAAATAAAAAAAATAGAAAAAAGAAATTATATTAAAAAGATAAAATTATAAAAATAATAATAAATTATTGACATAAAAAAATAAAAGATATTTAATTGAAAAAAAAGAATTTAAAGTAAATAAAATTGATATGTTATGTATAATAATGTTACGATAAAATTAAATAAAAATTAATTTTTATATAAAAATATAATAAAAATAATATAAATTTATTATCGATGTAGTTCGGTTTAATTTTAACAATGTGATAAAAAAATTGAATCAAACTACAATATAAAATATAATTTTTTCAATTTAATCGATTCTTGATTCTTTCAAATTTATAAGTTTAAAAATAATTTAGTTTTATTTTAAACACTCTTAATAATATATAAATTATATGATTAATCTTTTTATTTTAATGTTTAATTAAATACAAGACGTGTGATCTATTAAATTCTAATATTATTTTTTTAATATTTAAATATACTTTTTTTAAATAAATATCTTATATTTATTTTACAATGCATAATTATGTATTTTACAATCTCATAAATTTTATTCTCATACCATATAGAACAAATTCAATATTTTTTTTACCATTTAAACAGGGCATAAAAGCTTGAAAAAAACATAAACCTATCTCACACTTCTAGAATATTGAGAGCCTAAAGCATCCAAAGATAAAATCGGAATTAAATCAACAAGAGCTTGATTAAAATGATAAAAAAGGCATCCTACAATCTGTCTCAAATTTGATAAGCTAATTAGCACGATGATTAACTTCTATAAAAAATATGACTAATATTTTTCCATATTATTTATAGTATATCTTATTTTAAACTTTATGATTACATGTTACATGTAACATTTGATGATATTAAAATATAGAAATTTTCATATAAAATTTGCAGTGACTTTAAATTGGATGATTATATATACAAATATCACACTCAAAACTGTTTTATTATATTTATGTAACAATTCATGCAATATTTTTTATGGTTGATCGATCCAATACATATTATTCTTAATATGTATCCATGTGAGAAGAGAATATCACAAATCTATGTGAACTTGTTTATTAGTCGACTCATATGTTGCTTTCAACGTTATATTATTTGGTAAAGTTTCACAATCATATATTTTACTTTATATCATATAAATTTGTATTTACTATTTAATTAATATCATTAAATTCTTATAAAAATAATTTGATTTAAAGTATTTTATTTATTAAAATAATTTGTAATAAAAAATATATTCACAACATAAAGGCTCATAATATATACATCAACAAAATTTCTCATAATTATTATTTATAAAAGAATTATTCTTCATGATGTTTTTTTTTATGATAAAAAATTTTTACTTTAATTTCTTTAGTTAAAATCACCAAACATGTAAATCTATGGGTCTGATGTTGTTTTAACTTAATTAATATAATCTTGAGTTTAAATTTAAATTTTTTTATTATAATTTATTGATGGAGTGATGATGATCACTCAGATTTGCATAAAGATTTGTCACCAATCTTCATCAAATATGCAAAAAAATTTATATAGTCTAAGATGCAAGCCTAGGTTGTCTCCGATGACATTGGTTGAGAATATGCATCAAACATGTTATAAACGTTAACTCAGAAGGCAATTAATTGGAGGGAGGGTTTGTGTGATTTTAAATTTAATATAAAAAATAAGAAACAAAATTATAAAGTTCAATCAATAAAATATAGTAACTCCTAATTCATTCATGTAAACTTCATCCCTATTCCTCTCAATATTTAATACTCTTTTTTCTCCTCTTAGAATTAGGTTAATTTAACAAACAAAAATCAACCTTATATTCTCATATGAATTAAGCAATTCAATGGACTTCAATCTCTCATCTCAAGATTACGCAATCTTAGAAATAAACCCAGAATTAAGCAATTCAAATTTAGAATCTCATTAAAACAAATTAGGGTTAATTACGCAATATCCTCCTCATTTAACCATTAATTCAATTCAAGAGTTTAGAAAGAAAAGATTCATGAAAAAAAAAGGAATTATATTAACATTTAAAACTCAGGAATTTAAGAATCTAAGTGAATTCACTAAAGATTACAAAAGGTTTAGCCCTCCATAAGGATGGGTCTCACAATCAAAAAGTGAAAATGAAGAGAAATCAATAACTTCAATGTAAAAATCAAAGAGAAGTAAGGAAAAAATAAAAATCAAACTCTAGGTTGAGTCCTTGGCTGTCATCCAAAGCTGACTTAAGCTCTACAAAGTGTTCTTAAAATGACAAAAATCTAAAAGTGTCAAAAAATCATAACCCTAATTACTAAAAATCTATTTATACTAAGTCTAACGTCAATTCATAGTAATTACTCTTGCTCACAAGAGTAAACACACAAAACATTTCATAGGTTTTCTCCCTTCTGCAGTAATCACTCTCATGTATAACAGTAGTTACTTATACGAGTAAACACGCGCAAGGTGCTTTAATCTAGAGCTTCACTGGAGTGATTACTCTTGCTTATAAGAGTAAACACGCGCAAACTTGGGTACTTGCTTTGGCTCTAAAGTGATTACTCTCACTTCTGAAAATAGTTATTTTGAACTGTCTTTTGAAATTTACTCTCTGAAGTAGTTACTATGGTGCCTGAAAGTAATTACTTTCACCTCATAATTTTCAAATATCCAAAAATTCATAGAATTTGTCTAGAATTTCATGCACAATTATTCAAATGATAAAAATTGTAAAATATATTTACAAAAATTAGTGTAAATAAGAAAAAAATTGAAAAAGTTATAATAATTGACCTAAATGAAGTTTTTATATTATTTACAATTTTTAAGTATTTTTCTATTAAAAACCTATAAAAAACTAAATAAAATATCTATAAAATGTAAATTTATCAAGTGACATAACATATTAATATATTTTTATTGTGTTATCTAATAATGTTAAACAATAAAGTACTTTAAAAAATCTTCATTTTTATCTCTCATATATTATTTTATTAAAAATTTATAAAAAAAATAAATTTTCTGTCATCTTATATCATAACATTCTTAATATGTAATATTATATTTTTTAAAACAAATTAATATATTCTAACATAAAAGTTAAAATAAATAATAAATTGTATATTTAAGGACTAATTTAATATTTCAATTTTTATAAAGATAAAATTATTTATTTAACTTAAAAAATTAATTTAAAGTTTTAAATGAATTGACAGTGATAAAAAACAAGAGAAAATATCACAGATTTTTTTAAAATTATTAATTATTTTTATTTCATATATAAAATTTTATTAAAAATTTATAAAAAAATAAAATATTTTTATCATCTTATATAATTATTAATATGTAACATATATTTTTTGAAAACAAATTAATGAATTCTAACATAAAAGTTAAAATAAATAATAAATTATATATTTAGATAGTAATTTAATATTTCAATTTTTATAAAGATAAAATTTATTTATTAATCTTAGAAGAATCAGTTTAAAGTATTAAACATAAAAGAATAGATAAAATATTAGAGAATTTTTTTAAGAGGAAAGTAAATAAACAAAAAAATTTACAATCTCAAATATAAACTTTTTAAAACCTAATTTTTAAAATTAAATAATTTTTTAAAAGTTATTAATTATTTTTAAATTAAAGTTTAAGATGTAGTTCATATAAAATAAAAAAATATACACAAGAGATATAAAAATATATTAAATTTTGTGGTCCAATAAAATTACTTGTGGTCTAAAAAATTATATATTAAAATTTATATTTAGATGGATAATATTTTTTATTAAAATGAATAAAGAAATAATAAAACTTATTTTATATAAAAATTGAATAAAATTTTGAAAAATTAATCCACAGAAATATGAGTTTTTATACTATTAACTTTCGTAACGTAATCTTATTTATAATTTTATGTCATAAAATTCAATTTAATTTTTTAAAACATAAATAATAATAATAAAAAAAAGGGACAGAATCTTCTTTCCTATCGGGGTAATATTTTTTTTTTCAATGAATGCCAATTTATTAAAACTTTTTTTGAAACTAGTTTTCTTTCAAATAAAGAATAAAAAATTATTATTATTGTACATATTTAATTTAACAAAATAATTTCTCATTAGAAATTTTTGAGATAAATTTAAAAAAAAAATTTAAATTTTTTTAAAACAGCTGTTTACATGTAATGTCTTGCTTGTCTCTCACCCATTTCCTTTTCCTCGGAATCTCAAAAACCAAAAGAAACGATGTGTTAAGGAAAAGACAAGCCGGCGCACCTGGTTTTAGTTCAAGAAACTGAAGACCACTTTCTCAAATTTCAGAGACAATTTTCAACGTGTTAGGCGCGAGAGTTGGATTGTGATTCAACTGTAAAATTCATTGCAATTCTCTCACTTCGATACTCAATTCCTACAGCATTGCTTTTAAAACCATCTTGGGTCTTTCAACCCACTGTTCTCGTAGCACACAAGCTGTTTGATAAAATAACTCAACAGGTTTTGTGGCGAAAACCCATTCTGCAGCTTTCATAAATACACTGCTTCAAGTCAAGAACGCTGTCTTTGAAATTTTAAGCATATTTGTTTTCATTTTTAGGAATATTATACTTTTATCCTGTTTCTTCTTACAGTGGGTAATTTTGGAACAGGGAGTAGAATGTCTTGCGCCACCTTTAACGTAGGAGCTTCTTTGAATCTTCATGAATACACTAAGCATGGAGTTTCTAAGCCATTTGGGTTCAAGAACCACTGCGCTTTCCCCAAGTTTTCTTCTCTCTTCCTTGAGACCTTGAATTTGAGTTCCACTCTTCATAGTTTTGGTGGGGATACGCGCTCACGTTTATTCCATAGTGTTTCCAAATGTGCTGCTCAGAATTCGGAACCATCGCCTTCTGTTAGCGTCGGGACGAAGAACGATTCTCGTAAGCACTGCAGTTCCATTTTCTTTTTGTTATTTCTATTTTTGTTCTGATTGCAGAGTCAAGAAGATTCAATGTCTTATATATGAGTAATTTACTCTCTTTATTTCGTTTACTGACTTTGTACCTTCTAAATTTTTCTTGTGCCTAAGGAGAAAGGGTTTCTGTTCTGGTTATTGGTGGAGGGGGACGAGAACACGCACTTTGCTATGCCTTGCAACGATCACCAACCTGTGATACTGTATTTTGTGCCCCAGGCAATGCTGGAATTGCCAGCTCAGGAAATGCTACTTGTATCTCAGACCTCGATGTTTATAATGCAGCTGCAGTAGTCTTATTTTGCCGGAACTGGGGGGTGGGACTAGTTGTTGTGGGACCCGAGGCCCCACTTGTTGCAGGTCTTACAAATGAGTTAGTTAAGGCTGGAATCCCAACTTTTGGTCCATCTGCTGAGGCTGCTGCTTTGGAAGGTTCTAAGAATTTCATGAAGCATTTGTGTGACAAGTATGATATTCCAACTGCCAAGGTCTGTCTTCTTGTTCTGAACCTCATCAACCAGATCACCGTTTAATCCTTGTTCTGCCGGAATGATATTTCTGCATGTTTTCGTTGTTTACTGTATCTTATAACTAGCTCACTTGTTTCTCTGAATCTTTTAACGTACTAGTTAGTTAGAGGACTAGTGAAAGCTGTATTGCATTGGTTTCTGGATATGTAATTTTTGTTAAGATCATAAGATGACAATTTTCTTTGATAGTCAGCACGAGCGTTGTCAACTTGCCTCTTGATTGTTCTGTTAATCAAGTTAGAATATATTTAAGAAATGGTGTTCACGATAGTTAGTTCCTTATAGAGTCATCTTGTTTGTGCCCCTATTTTCCTATCTGAATTCCATGTATATGGTATTCTGTTGTATCATTCTTGAATATATGTGTTTCCATCTTCTTCTGACCTTGCGTATGCCAATTTACTCACTGAAATTTCTTTCTAAGCTTTTAACTTAACATGGATATACTACTGCAGTACAAAACCTTTACGGACCCATCTGCTGCAAAGCAATATATTCAAGAACAAGGAGCACCAATTGTTATCAAAGCAGATGGACTGGCTGCTGGAAAAGGAGTTACTGTTGCCATGACACTGGAAGAAGCGGATGAAGCTGTTGATTCAATGCTAGTGAAGGGTGATTTTGGTTCTGCAGGTTGTCGTGTTATTGTTGAGGAATTTCTAGAAGGAGAAGAAGTGTCATTTTTTGCATTGGTTGATGGAGAAAGTGCAATTCCACTAGAATCTGCTCAGGACCATAAGCGAGTTGGTGATGGGGATACTGGACCAAATACTGGTGGCATGGGAGCATATTCTCCAGCTCCTATACTAACCAAGGAACTTCAATCTATTGTAATGGATTCTATTATCATGCCAACAGTAAAAGGAATGTCAGCAGAAGGTTGCAAGTTTGTTGGGGTTTTGTATGCCGGGCTTATGATTGAGAAGAAGTCTGGCATGCCTAAGTTGATCGAGTATAATGTGCGATTTGGTGATCCGGAGTGCCAGGTCAGTTAAGTCATTAGATATTTGTTGGCATGAATTCACTTCCTAATATAAGTACTTAACCCTTGAAATACGTTATAACAGGCTAGAACTCAGTTATTGATGACAAAAATTGCTTTGGAATCTCATAATTCTCAGTTAGATATGTGCATTGTAATTGAGCTCATTTTATGGTGCGATATATGCAGTTTTTAATTAAAAAGATGTGCAATTTTTCCTTATAATTCATTTGTCCATTTTTTTCTTCATATGCATTGAGAGACTACAATGTCAATGTTTCTTATCTTGCTATATGTGCCTTTGTTTTGTTTGGGCTCATTATATTTGGTTTGAAATCACAAGTTGATGTCTAATGATATTTCATATTTCTGTCTCGTTGCTTTCTCTATTGGGTGTTCTTTTTATTGTTATCATTCTATAGTTCACCGATATCTTAGATTTTATCTAACAGACGCACAGATACACAATCCCTCAGTTTATTTACACAATGCAAACATCTTTGATAACAGATAATGATAATCACATTAACGCTTGTTTTATGTCAGTAATATATAAGCCATGTTAACTAATGTGTATCGTTTTTCCTTTTGGAATTTTAAACAGGTCTTAATGGTTCGATTGGAGTCTGATTTGGCACAAGTTCTGCTTGCAGCATGCAGAGGAGAGTTGATTGGGGTATCACTAAACTGGTCTCCCGGGTCTGCCATGGTTGTGGTAATGGCAAGTAAGGGATATCCTGGACCATACGAGAAGGGAACTGTGATTGAAAACCTTGAAGAGGCTGAGCTTGTTGCTCCAGGGATCAAGATATTCCACGCTGGAACTGCATTTGACTCTGAAGGAAGATTTATTGCAACTGGGGGGCGTGTTCTTGGGGTTACTGCCAAGGGAAATGATCTTGAAGAGGCTCGTGATCGAGCTTATCAAGCTGTTGAGAATATTAACTGGCCAGGAGGTTTCTATCGTAGGGATATTGGTTGGAGAGCCCTTCCTCAGAAACAATATGCTACAAAGGGATAAAGTAATCTGAGAACGCAAGTAATGGTGGTAAATCGTTTTATGAACATCTCCGAGATAAGGATGGCTTTTTTATAGATGATGAATCTTGTCATTTTTATTTTTCAGGTGTAACAGGATTAGGCGATGTGGTAACATCATGAGCCATGGTGGGGAACCTCATAAAAACAAACTATTCTCCCACTCCCACCTCTTCCCATTAAAATATGGTGTATTTCCTCAATAAAAAAAGTTAAATTGTATATTAACATGGAGAAGTTGGATCGAGTCGGTGTAAAACAAATTCTCCTTTGAAGTATTGTTAGAGGTTTAGACTAGAGGAAATTTCTTTTTTACATCTAGAAATTTAATTTCACTAGTGATTTATAAATCACCTTCAGAATTTAATTTTCAGAATGTATAACTTCGAAATTTTGGAAGTGATTAAAAAAATTTCAAAGCGGGGTGAATAGAAAAAAGTGGTGCAGAAAGAAATTTCCCAAACTAGATTGCCGAGCTAAAATTTTGCTTATCATTGGCCCATGACCCACCATTGTGAGTATCTTTCCACTGATTCTTCTTTCTTCAGGAATTGTGTATTTCTATGTTTACAATAAGACTATTCAAAAGTATGTTAACCGATGTCAACCCCCTGTTAATGTTCCATTCAATTTGTTCACCATATCATTCATTTCAAAACTGGTAAATTGGTTTACTGGTAAACGCCTTTTTTCATGCTTGGAATGCATGCAAAGTAACAGCAAAAACAAAGGTAAATATAGACTTTAGTTGATGCAACATCTTAGTCATAATCATTATAAACAGACTGACAAGGGCCTTGGCCATTACATGGGTATTTACAATCCACGTAAGTTTTATAATTTTAATTAAACGAAAATATTTTAAAAAAAAGTTAAAATTGTAAGATATATGAATAATCAATTCAAGTACAATTTAAAAATATGTATTAATACAGAAATAAAAGTTCACATTACTACTTCAATGACACTATTCCAATCGAGAAATTATCACCCCAAAAAATCTATGACATGATGATAACCTATAAATCTCGCCAATCACCCTAAAATCTGATTCTGCCATTTAACACACGACATTGTAGAGAGAGATTGTCTCAAATATATACTGTAGTTACAAATATACAAGGCCACCATTTGTTACTGAAACTTAAAGAAAGAGAAGGTGAAGAGAAGCTGCCAAATTCTGTGTTTCAAGAAATCTCCTCTACTTCAGCAGATGATGCAGGAACAAATGGAACAAAACCCCTTCCACCAAACACGGGTCTCATGAACTTATCATCAAATTTCCTCCAAAAGTAGTGAACAGTTGTGGTTGGATGACTTATTAGCAAACTTAGGCTACTTCGACTGTGAAATGGCTGATTGTTGCTTTGGTTAATCACACAGTTATTTTCAAGCATTAGGAATCTCAAATCTTCTTGATTATCAGAGGAATCAGAAATGGCTGGTTTTGAATGCCTTAGCTGCACAGCCTCAATCAGAGGCTTTGTTATGGAACCAAATACCTGTTTGCATTTTTTGTTTGTTTGTTTGCAATGAAAGCTACCGTATTAGTATCTGTTCTATCTTGATGCAAATCATGTTATTTATAACCATGCAATATGAAACCCACCACAGTACTGAATAAGACCACAATTATAGTAGAGGTGATAATTAATGCAGAGTCTTGAGCTGATGTTATGTTGGATTTTCCAAACTGCATTTGACAGCAACTCAAATAAAATCTTTGGCTTAAAGTGGAATTTTCAGAAAAGAATGAACTTGTACCATGTACTTGCCTGGCTATAAGACAAGGCAATAGTCACTGCACCTCTCATCAGGCCTGCCCACCATATTATAAACTGACATTTTGAACAGTACAGCATAAATTCAGTGAGGTCAACTGAAAATGTCAACGCTTGAGGAATTAAGAGCCCACAATTATCACCTGTGAACGGAACTCAATTTTTGTACTCTCTCTTGCCTTGATGCAGTTTGTAATATTTGCAATAGGGAACACAAAAGCTGCTCTTCCGATCAACACTAATGCAAACAACGTTGAACTGACAGCAACTGAAGTTCCTAGGCTGCTCCAAAAAACATGGTAATGTGTTAAGAAAATTATTAATATTAACAACAGAATATTATGTGTTCATTGATGAAAGCAGCATGAACTTCATGAACTGAATATATAGTTGCATTAGTTGTGATGCAGATCCTTTCTAAAACAATGATATTAACCTACTGTCTACAGCGTGAAATAGATAAATTTTCAATTACGTGGCTTTGCTGGTTTTCCATTTGTCAATATCCAACGCATCCATGCCAACACATATAAATATAAAGGTCTCAGCAATGAACGAGATGGTTGCAAAGGAGTGCCTGAAATAGTGGAAGTATTTTGCAAATTAGGACTTCATGTAGTTTTATTGGTTGCAAGAAGTATCATAACAAATTTAAGATTGCTTAATAACACTAAAAAAAGCGAGGAGAAAAAAATGCATCAGCAGAATGAAATGATTTTATTATATTTTGTAACTGCTATTGCATTCCCCATATTAGCTGAACTGATTGATTAACATTAAAATATGCTAATCTTTCCCAGATAAAATGAGTTTAAGATCATGTCCTTACTTGGTTGTTGTCCTTGAGCTTCCTGTAACATTGTGCCAAGTGTAGTGTGACATTACAATGCCACAGAATAAAATAGTCAAAATCCCACTGAGATTCAAAAGCTGCAAAAGCCGCATATATGTAAAGCGCTTGAAATTCTAAAGTGAATAAATGCATTTATGATGCTCTTAGCTACTGAGTATTTTTTTGCCATTTTGGAGAGAATTTATACTTGAAAGTTTTGTTTTGAATCCATTGTTTTTGCCTAGCTTGTCTTAATTCAATTCTTTTCAGCCACTCCCTGTGCAATGCGCGAAGGGAAGGATGGGTTGGAACCTGGAAACAACTACTTACTCTCTTAAGCATTTGGAAAAACAAGTTTTCAATTTAGTCTCTATATGTATGATTGTTACAAACTTGGTCTTCGCCAATCATCTGCTGGAGTCATAACGTGTGGGATGGGGGCAAAATCAAAATATGAGTATCATGCATAATGACCTTAAATGTTATATATCGGTCCCTATGTAACAATTATTTTTAGAGTTAATATATAAAAGGGTCCCTGGAAGTGGTGACTTGTGCTGTTTTGATTTCTAAAAGTGCATGCCTATATAAATTAGTTCTAGAAAATGTCAACTAAAATGCATTTTGTAGACAGTGATTTTTATACCTCTGCGATCATGTAGGATAAATATGCCATCAACATCATAAGTGCAACCTCACGATCTGTAGAGTGCCTGAAAATGGACGTCCACCAAGCATACAAATCATATTTGTTAATCCCTTATAGTATTCTATAAATCCCAATAGTTTCACTTATTTTTCAAATAGATCCATTTAGTTTTAAAATATGTAATGATTATGAGACTTTGTTAAGTATTACTAAACTATAGGGACTTATTTTAAGAATTCAAATAAACTACAAGGACTAATGGATTTCTGTTTTCCGTCAAACAGATCTCTATAATCTATCCAAATCCTCTAATTAGGTCCTTATTGTTTAGCAAAGCTTAACAGAGTATCAACACCATTCAGCTGGAATAGACTGAATCAGCAATTCCAGATTTTAGAAGTACGAGGACCAATTATAAACTTCTCAACTATGAAGACCTATTGTCCTATTTGAAAGATCAGTAAAATTAAAGGGATCCCATAATGGTTTGACATTATTTATCTATTTCAAGTTGCCAGAATTTTCTTAAGCAATCTCATCATTTTCATGACTTTTTGTTAATTGGGGCCTGTTAATTATTTATTTCAATGTTATCCAGTTCATCTGGCCTTCCAAAATTGATGACATTGAAGAAATATATAATTCTACCAACTGAACGGGACACCCTACTAACAGTTTCAGGAAGATATCCATTTGATTGGTTAAGTAGTCAAGTTATTCACTTATACAAGCAAAGGGAATTCATACCTTCCAAGATAAAGTGTTTTAATAATATAAGCACTTGAAAGGCCAACCTGAAAAAGTCATCATATAGCAAGTCAGAATAGAATTGCATCCTTGTATTATTTGGTTTGCAAGCAAGTCAAAGATGTAGTATTGGTTTATGATTCTGTAGATTCATCCTTGTAATGCCTTCTTCATGGAGAAAATTTGAAGTTCAGATAGTATATTCACACAATGAAATGAAAGAATTCCATTTGCTACAGGGAAGACTGATGACTACAGAAGAAGAAAATGTAACCATGAGAAGCACTTCTGAATATGCGGCCATGCATCCAGAACATAGGTTTTCTAGCTATAGGTCAGTTTTTCCTACCTGACGTCTAGTTTAAGAGAGTTTTTTTTTGTTTTTCTTTTTTCAAGAAGAACATGCAAAACTACCCAAGCTGAACTTACTACTATTCCTAGGACGGTACTAGAGCAGAAGAGGTAAAGGAAGATCCCCAATAATTTCAATGCTCTGATAGCATTGATGCTGCTGAAGTCAAGTGATTGGACCGAATTGAAAAGCACAATGGAAGTAGCATCGTTTACTACTCCCTCCCCAAATACAATGCTGTAAATAGAGGGTGTTTCATCTTGACTGAGAACCTTCATCACAAAAGGAAAAGGAAGGCATTATATGATATATTAATTTTGAAATACTAATTTTTGCTTGCACTAAGGTTGGAATATACCTGCAATGTACAAACTGAGTCAGTTGCTGACAGTATGGCACCAATGGCTTCACATACATGATGCAGAAGCAATCAGAATGGAAGGGAAAATGATGATATGAGATTGCTCTAAACAAAGAACCATTTCTCACCTAGGTAATCTTTTATGCCAAGGTTAGCTAAGCCAATCCTCTGAATGAGCAGAAAGGCACCTGAGAAGTTGCAGAAGTAATTATATTGAGTCTTTATTCTGTTCATTCCACATAGATTTATTGACAATGAAAGCAACTGTTTATCACCGGCATTCGACCAAAGGTTCGGTTCTGATATTAAAACGATATGAAACTGAAAAGGGTTACCAGACAATGGAGATCTTACCAATAGATATAAGACAGAATGAAATCACTGTTCCAATGACTCCAAACAGCAGTATAGTTGTGAAATTCTTGAAGAATTGTTTCTTCTTCACTTGGAAACTAGCATGCCATTTGAAATTACACAAACAAATCAAACATCTCAACTAAAAGAAATAATTGAGAGAAAAAGATAATAAATAATCACACTTACCCGGCATTAAAAATGATGGGAGGAAGCAAGTAAAGAAAGAACAAGTCTTCACTGAACACTAAAATCTTGGTACTATGGAACTTGGTCACCAGCAATACCACCACTCCAGCACACAACCCCTTAAATTTACAATAATCTATTAAGATAGAAAGTCACATGAATTGTACATGAAGAGTAGAAGAATGAGTTGAGTCTGCACCAGAAGGAGGGCAACGGTGGATTCATTAGCCCACCGGTTCTCTTCAAGAAGATGGCCAATGACGATGCAAGCACAGAGGAGTGTGAAGAATACGCATAGAGCCACAATGGTGCTTGTGCTGAGATATGAAGTTGAAAAATGGAGTGGTGACAGTAACAAACCCATTATTTGTGGGCATTCAAGTTAAGCAATTACCTTTCTGATAATGATGAAGATCACTGAGAAAATGAATGAGGAATCAAACAAGTTGGATTGGATTTGGCTTGAGGATGAAATGGAGGGAAGAAAAGTTGGACTGCGTTATGAAAACAACTTTGGTTCGCTTGGTTTTTATAAACCCGCATAGCCAAGAGAAGTACAAAAAACATACTCTTTTTAACGAACGTTAAGATTTGTTAGACAATGTATTATTAGCATTTCTCTGACTACTGAACACGTTTCAGAATTTTGACAATTATTTGTCACAGCGTGGAGATCACGGATGTTGGCAGGTAATGGTGAGTATGCTGCCTACTACAAGTCACGTGTTTTTTTTTTGGAATTATTTCTGAATATTAAGAGAAACCTAACATTCAGACAGTAAACTGACTTGCTGTTTGTATTTTGTTTTCTTAGTTAGTGTCAGTAGTCCCTCTAATATTGCTAAGCAAGTTCTTTTTACCTTATACCAAGAAATGATGCAAAAGGGATAGTTTATGACTGTCTGGTGTTGAAAGAGATAATGAATATGTGGTTCAGTACAAGTTATTCCTACTTTGAGTCCATTATCAGAACCGTGAAAAGATTAAGCCGTGGATACCGCATTAAGCAGATAATTTCTTTTGGTAAAGGAAACAAACATTTCAAATAGTGGTTGTGTTTGTGTGTTGGACCCACGTTGAAACTTCTATACACTTTCAAATACTATCTATATTTTCCAATTTTTTACAATTTTTTTTAAATTATACTAATAATACAAATGCGAATATTATAATACATAGATAAATTAGAACATTTTATTATGTCTGCTAAGACCGATATTTACGTTCGAAATATGAATTTTCTCTGAGAAGTTATCAAGTTATTATGATAATAAAAAATAAGTTTTTGTTAAAAAGTGTTATTAGTATACTCTTACCATAATGATTTTGAATAATTTTTTAATGTTAATTTTTTAACCAGTGTTCTCGAATGCTGATTAACTAGACTTTTTTATATTTGCATAGTTATGAGTCCATGCATTATATTCATGTCTTGTGCAACATGAGAGTTTAGTCCGTTGAATAAGCATAGTGTTCATTAATATTATCATAGTCAGGTTGGTTTCTCTATTGGGTATTATGTATATATTGATATCAACTGGTCTCTCCCCTCATTCGCAAAATTGAAAATACGCTTTCATAGTGCTTGATATCCAGAATTGGTGATGAGAAATAACTTGGTGCAACTCCTCATTTGAAGACCAATAAGTGAGAATCATTCCTCAGTAACTCATGAAAAGAATAATATATGTATTCTATCCAAACAAATGCCAATATGCCGTAGCTTCACCACATTCAAAAGAATACTAATTTGAAGTCCAATGCATTATTAACTGCTTTTCAGCTTTCACAGGCTGCTGCTGACGCAATGAACCGTGTATCATGCAGGTGACAATTCATTATTAAACATTGCTTTGCCCCAGGCTTCGGCTTCAAACACAAATTTAGACTTCGAAGCTGACAAACAATTGATCTTCGCTTTAAAACACGACCTTTTTGTCTATACGTGGTACACTTGGATACTTGTTAAAATTATTATTATCTTCACTTTAAAATTATTATTTGGTTCTTACATAAGGTGTACAATTTGCCCTATGGTCCTATTTGGGTAAGTTTGTGAATAAATTCTTGTAAAAAAAGAAAATTTTAATAAAAACTCATTAAATTAACTTATACTTCTCTATTTTTTAAAAATTAATTTTATTTAATTTCTTTAAAAGTTGAAAAAATAAGTTGTTTTTATATTATTTTCTTCTTTTACTTGAACTTACCCATAAGTTTATCCAAACAGGTTTATAAATAACCTCTTAAAATATTTTACGGATTATTATTTTTAGTTTTTACCTAATGTGATTCACTTGACAGTATTTTAATAGACTGCATCCAATATGAAAATTAAAACAAAATATTGTGAAAAAAAAATAGAGACTACATCTTGACAAAATATTTAATAAGGACTAAGTCCCAATTGTATAAGTTTTATAGAGATCAAATTCTAATTAAGCCAATATAACTTTAATGAAACTAGCTCAACTTAGGGATTATTTTACCTTTCTCTTAATTTTTTCTTATTATCAAATCCATTTATTCTTATTTGTGAGATATGAGATGCTTCTTTATTAAGTTCTTTTGTTATAGATTTTTCACACCAATCTACAACTATTTTATATTCTTTTTTATGTATCACATAAAATTTAAGTTAGCATACATATATCTTTAATTTTTACAAAAGTTTTTGTTAACTTTAACCCTTAGGACTGAAAATAAACAGTTAATAGTAATAAAATTTTATTAGAAATAAAAGTATTTATTGTATTTTTATAACTTTAATATAATAACTGTATATTTTTTTCATAAAAATTTTCTATTTGTAGATGCTTAAACTTAGTTTTAAGGGCTGAGATTATCAAAACCAAAAAATTATTGTGTCCGATGCCTATGTACTATATCCATCATATTCATGCAACATAGGACCTTCAATACTCTAGTAAGTTTATATAAAAATCTTGATATAAAATAACAAACAATATCACTCTATGAAAATGTTGAAAACTATGTCATTATAGCATTGAAATTACGAATGACTTGATGTACACGGCTAAAAATTACAGCACATGGCTACAGAATTGTTAATGATACAGCAGCAGAACGAAGTTTTTCGCCATCAATGTCCCACTTGGACTCTGGCGCAGTTGCTCCAGCAATAAATGCCTACAGAAAATAAGGACCAGATATCTTACTTCTCTGTAATTTTACTTGGGCGAAAAATATAGAAATGATTGATGTGTATCATCACAGAAATAATAAGAATTTGTTCTATTGGTACTGTATCAACTAGCAAAATTTGATGATGATATATTACTGGCATTGAATATCCCAATAGATGTGGATGAGTTAGTTATATCAGTAAAAGCAAGTGATAACAAACCTTTCCACTGTCGACACCTGCCATCAATGCTATGTGCTGTTCATCCTTACCAAATTCATAGAAATAGTAAGTCCTGAAATTATATAAGCCAATACTGCATTGGAATTTGATGCAATAGAAAAACTCTATATGGCATACACACACAATTTAATAAGGTTGGTTCCAGATGAAATAAAAATGCCTTCAAAGATTAATCCGCATGTGCAGAGTTTTCTACACTAGCATTTTGAGTACCTAAATCGAGGATCAGGAGAAAGCGAATCAATGATGTCTACTTATAAGTTATAACCCTTTTTTCTTAGACAATCTCTGTTTCATTTTTTGTTTTGAATAAAAATAAAAAGAAAAATAAACTAATTTATTATTTTGTCCTAAAAATGGGAGAACCTTTGGTCTATGTAGTTACAGTAAACTGAATTTGAACTTACCTCAAATCCTCGTCTTCCTGTACTTTTATTGATTTTGCTGAGTAAAGTGTTGCCCCTCCTGCATGCCCATCGTGGGCAGAATGAAATACAAAAACCAAGAACTAGGAGTAAACAGAGATCAAAGAAGCACATTATATCATTTAAGTCATTAAATGTTGGAAATAACAGTATATAACATAAACTCTGAACAAAATTAACTTCTTCCAGAACCTAAGAAAACATGCAGAAGTTAAAACAAAATTGCACCTGGAATAAATATTTTTGCCACTTCGTTCAAGGACCCTAAATCAGTTATATTCTGAGCCTGCTCTAATCAATAAAGAAAATGTAAGTTCCTTGAGGAGTTTACATCAAGAATAAAAAATAAGACTACATCAAATCTCAATTACAGTGAGTTGTCCCGACTTAGGGACAAAAACCTGATGGCCGATATACTATACATATGTTCTCCTGGAGAAAGACATTTATGAGAGCCTCTGAAAGTTTAACTTTAAATCATGCATAGGTGAATTGATAAAAAATTATAAGGATTAGATCAGTTTCTCCATCCTTTATGAATTCATCAAGAGGAAAAAGCTCCTAATTCTAGTCCAAGTTCTCGAAAACCATAAAAAGGAACCACTGGTGAGGCAGACACATCACATTGACTCGGACAAGGCCAAGAGTTTCTGAAGTACAAATAGCAAAATAACTTGCCTGTTTGTCATTTAATTACTCAACAACACTCATCTGACGAAGCCTTATTTTACTAGGGGAGGTTGACTACACGAATCACACGTTATTAACTTTATTAAAACACCAAATTCTGTAAGATTTTATCAATACAGTGAAAATTTCATGCCTTACGGATATAATGGGTTTTGCTTTTTGGGGGAGGAGGGGGAGGGGGGGTACATATATAAATAAAATTGTCAATGATTATCTGATTACCTGTAAGAAGGTGATTTTAAGTTGATTGGTTGGGCGAGTAACAACACTTAGAATCTCAGATCTGTTTCAATCACAGACAAGATGCTCATGTTTCCTTTTGAACATACACAAATGCATTATGCATAGCAAGAAAATCGGAAGTTCAATGATAAAAATACCCATCGGAAGATGCAAACCGTGCTGAAAAAGTCCTTGTCTTTGCCTTGTCCCCATAAAGAGACTGTCCAGCATTGAAATCCTACAAGCAAATGGAAAACCAGCTCACTCTACTGAAAATTTAATAATGTTTCAATGCTATTTTTGTTAAGATGCGAGTACCGGAAAATGAATTACAGTCGTACCATTTCAAAATGATAAAACTAACTTATTCAACTATCTTCAATCATCAAAACTGAGTTAACTAGCTAAAACATCAAACTACAACTAACCATAGCTGAATTTAGCTGAGTTAAACAATCCTGTTATTACCAAAAAAACATCAATAAAAACATCTTCTAAGAGTTTACTTTTTTTCATACACCAATAGTGTAAAGATAAATACATTGTCAAACAATAAGAAATCACCCCAAATGACTTCTATAGCAGTTAATACAAAAGTCCATAATTCACAATAACATGGCAATTGGTAATTGGATCACAGTATAAAATACCTTTACATTGTGTATCAATTAAATTGTTTTTTCAATTGTAATTTTCTAAAGTTGAACAATAAAATATTTGACAAATAAAAAAACTTAATTTATATTTCAGTAATTTAGCTGGCTGTTGAAATGCTTCAACTTGAACTTGAATTTTCAAGATTGAAAGGGACATTATTAATCTTAACTACCCAAAAGGAAAAGTAGTAACTGGGGTTTATTGATTGGGTCGTGAATGAATGTACCTCAGGTTCCATGAGGTCCTGAAACTCTGGTGGGACTCGAATGGAAAACCCATCGCCGTAGAACTGAAACCAAGATTTGGTATTTTCAACGCTAGAAATAAGCGATTCAGAGGGCGCCTCTTGAGCAAGTGAGAGTTGAGGAGTTAGACTAATGCCAATGCCAATGCAGAGGAAAGAAGTTTGGAGGATTAGGTGCCGTTTGGAAGTGAGGTTGTTTATGGGTTTTGTGGGCAAAGAGAAGTACTTCTTGTTGCTGACGCTGAGTGTGGGAAAAGTGGAGAAAAGAATGGCCATCAAAGATAAACCATAGAGACACAAACACAATATTGATGATCTTCAGTTTCATGTAAAATAGATAGATTTTGGAATTTACTCAACCCAGCATCCTAAGGGGCACTTGAAGTCATTTCATTAAGTAAATTTCTTGAATTAATAAGATAAAATAATGTATCAAAATAGACAGACAAATTTTTTCAGTCCTATTCAACTATATATATATATATATATATATATTTATTTTTTTTTCCTCTTAAAATAATGATAATTTTTTTAAAGTACTGATGAATAAATAAATAATTATAGTGCATGCTTACTAGAGAAAAATGATAATTTCTAGTGGCTTGGAAAAGTCTAAAAGACCCACATGGCTAATAGACGTTATCCTCTTTCAAACAGAGCCAACCAACCAATCCAAACCACCCACAATCTGAACCACATGAGAGGACACAAAGTGATGTAAAAGTGGAAGAGAAGAAGAAGAATCTTTCTGCACTTGAATCCTTGCTGATCCATTCCTCCCCATGGGAACCATTTTTCCTCCTCACTCTCTCTCTTCCCTCCTCAACATCAAACCTTCACCCTCAAGAACCCTCTTCCCTCCCTCTCTCCAACCCAAGTCAAATTCTCTCTTTTGCTGTAAACCCATTGTTTCCACTCTCAGAAAGAACCAAACTTCATCTCTCAAGCCATCATCCCCTTCATGCACAACCTGGTTCACTCTTGCTCAACAAGGCCTAGCAGCTTTGGCTATATCCTTGGCGCTCAACTTTAGCCCACTTTTGCACAGTGGCAATGCAATAGCATCAGAATTTGATGTACTTAGTGAAGGTCCGCCCAAAGATTCTTATGTTTTTGACGATGCAGGTGTGCTTAGTAGAGTGACAAGGTCTGATTTGAAGCAGTTATTGTCTGATTTGGAATCAAGGAAGAACTTCCACATCAATTTTATTACAGTTAGAAAACTAACGGTTAGTTACACAACTATATGCTTGAATAAAATGTTTTTAATTTTTTATGTTGACATTAATACTTTGATTTCATAATCCATGTGCTTTCACATGAATTAATCAAACATTAGGCTTGTGCCCCCTTGTACATGTTCTTTGCTTGAACTAAAATGGAGCATGAAAGGACCAAAGAAAATGATTATTTTTTGTTGTTGTTTATAATGTGGTTGGTTGTAGAGCAAAGCTGATGCGTTTGAGTATGCTGACCAAGTTTTGGAGCGTTGGTATCCTTCTGTAGAAGAGGGTGACAACAAGGGTATTGTGGTTCTTGTCACGAGTCAGAAAGAAGGAGCAATCACTGGTGGCCCAGCTTTTGTACAAGCTGTGGGAGAAAATATCCTTGATTCCACTGTCACAGAGAACCTTCCAGGTACTTTTAATTCTCCACGTTTTGCTGTTTCATATATCACCTAATGGTTTCAAAGAACTTCCAAAACTGGCTTGGAGTTGAAGTCTTTTCACTAACAAATATGGCAAACGTGAATTGATGATTGTCATCTATTTACAAACTTTGAAGCAATTTTCTTTGACATGAGTATGCTATAACATGCACTTCTAGTACAATAAAGGACGTATGAGAATTTCGATTCAAAGATCTTTTGGACAAACAAATCCAAGGTTAGGCAAAAAATGTGAACCATTTGTCTGCATAATGTGAAAATATGAGTTACATGTCAGCATACGTTATATTTTTTCCTTTTAATAATTTAGGTAAGTGTAGGTTGCCTCAAATTTTTTTCATGGAATGTCACAAGTCTGAGAATTACAATAGAATTTTTATGTCACTGTGCCCCAATCCTATCAGTTGAGACTCAAATTTCCAATTCATGTCCCCATCAAGTTCTAACCTTTCTTTCAGTAGAGTACCTAATTTTAACTGTAGGGGATGTTTCTAGATCTAAAAATGACAACACATACGATGGGCATTTTGGATATTCTGGATTCTGGCATTAAGTTACTATCCACCTCCTTATACTTTTACTCGTTTGAATGTAAACGTACTACTACTAATACTATTTTGATAGTCTCCAAGTTTGCATTATTTGTAAAACTTGTCAATCTTCTGAAGTTTTAATCAATCAGGAGCAGCTATGATCATTTATTTTTTTGAGGGGTTGCAAAACTACCTATATTGGTTTTCATATGCAGTACTGGCTACGGAAGAGAAGTATAATGAAGCCATTTTTAGCACTGCTAAACGGCTAGTTGCTGCCATTGATGGCCTTCCAGATCCTGGTGGGCCAAAATTTCAAGACAACAAACGCGAGTCTAACTTCAAAACCAGGGAAGAGACAGAAGAGAAGCGTGGACAATTCACTCTTGTTGTTGGAGGTTTGTTGGTCATTGCATTTGTTGTTCCTATGGCACAATACTATGCTTATGTATCCAAAAAATAAAATAAAAAAAAGTATACAACTAGACCTAGTCTTCCAAATTCTCTCAGTATTTAAATTCAGATGTATAATATGCAGTTGTAACCATCCTCATGTTACAATTGAGTTTGAGAAAGATGAAGAATAAGATCAGAGTTTTCGCTTGTAAATGCAATTCCATAGTATTTGAATTGATCGATTTTAATGTGCCAGTTATGTCCTCTCTCTGCTGACATTTTTTTTAAAAATTTTCTCTATATAACCGACAATTTTTCAATTGTTAGAACAACGGTTATGTTGTCTGCCGTACTGTGTAATGCAACTCTAATCAAGCATGAAAAACTCCGATAAGAGAAATGAAGTAGAAAAAAAAAGGCAATTTTGCAAACAGAAAAAGAATATATGCTGAATCAAATGCAGCCTTATACAGTTTCCAAATGAATTTCTTAATCCGAAGAACATCAACATATTCTACGGGTTAGTAAATGTTATTCAAAACTATCTTTCAACGAGCTATCTTGCCATAGTGCCTTCTCTTTTTCCCCCCGGGAAATTCTATTAGATAACAAGGTTCCTAGTTTTTCTTAAATTGCTAGTGCATTTTGTTAGCGTTAATCAATTTTCATTTACATCAATGTTACTAGTTGTAGTTTCTGTATTGGATTCACGTCTACAAACTTTTGAACAAGTTTTTAAACACACTATTGATGTATATACTTCAACACCCTCTTATAACATTAAGTTTAAAGGAACTTATAGGGGCACCATAAGCCAATTTTATAAAGCTATGAAAACTTTTAATTTTTAGTAAGTATTTATATATGACAAGTCCAAATAAGTTTGATAGAAACTTTTCCATTGGCCATGTCACAAAGTCAGTTGATCCAATCAAAGCATATTCGTTTGTAGGACCTTGACTGGTATTCAATGTTACAATCAACTATTCCATTCACTACACCAGCACAGAAAGAATGAAATTATTATAAGAATATACAGATAGGGATCTAAAAGTTGAGCTAGAGAAGGAAGGGCATTTTGTCTGCCAAAGGAGTGTTGTAGTAATTTCTAGAGAGAATTTGTGATGCCACATACTGATTTGCAGCCTCAGTGTAATGAATCCCGTCCCAGTTTACATACACACTACTGTCATTGCAACCTTTTGCTGTTATTGTGGTTCCGTTCAAGATCTTTGTTAGACCACAAGAAACTCGACTATCATAGTTCAATGGTGGACCTCCATATCCACAACAAGCCATAATGGGTTGTTCAAACCCTGCAAACATATAATCTCAGAAATTGGCTTGGACAAAATTCTAGCATTTTAATGATTGTAAACGTATATGATAAGATAACCTAAAGATTTTGTTGCAATTAGAATGATTACTGGGTTAAAGAAGGAAGGAAGCTCTAGAGAAAACAAAGCTCAAGAAGAATTAAATGAATTTCCATGAAGTTTTATGCAATGTATGTACAAATCATTATTTTATATTCTTCCATCGTCAAATCATGTCACATATGATGAGGAATTCATAATCTATAAAAATTAACATAAAAAACTCTTGGAAATAGTAATAATCCAAAAAAAAAAAAAGAGGCAAAATCAATAATAAAGTGGAATAAAGATGAGACAACAATAATTTCTTAAATTGCACTTACCATGTCTAGAATAATTTGCAATGAGGTCTGATTTTATAGTAAAGATATCAACATATGTAATATTTGCATCCGTATACTGGCCCTTCAATTTATTACAAAGAACTTGAAGCTGTAGATTAAAGGTTTTAGCCGCTTGGTTGTGTGAACTAACACATCCTAGTTCATCAAGCTTTGATGGATTAGTGCCAAATTTGGCAACAACTTGAGGCAAGCATCCCAATGGACCCGTGTTATGTATCCATAAATTCCTAGCCCCGTGATCATAGAGTTTCTAGCACACAAAGCAGAGAGTGAATGTTGATTTCAGTAAAACTATTTTATGTTGTGGAATTGAAGAGATTTTTAGGATAAAATTATTTGAATAAAAAATGTACCAAATCATTGTTATTTTATTACACAATGACACCAACCTTTATTCCAGTTTCAAATTCCAATAGAATTGTGGGAATTGAGGCAAGTATTTGGTTCAAATTTTTTGAATAAAATGCACCAGCAAGATCGTTCTGGCCTATGTCAAACATGTATAACCCCTTCTCAAAACAATCTTCAGATGGGATGTATTGATCCAATTTCTTGCCTGAAACATCATTATCAATATAATTTTCCTTCAAATGAATGAATGAGATAAACAGCATACTAGATTTTCACACCAAAGTAATGAGAAGATATTTGATTAATTTATCATATACCTTCAAGCAATTCTAGAACCCGAGCTCTGAATCTCAGAAACTGAGATACCTGAACTCCAAAGCCAAATGGGCTGATGGATTTTGCAGTGGCTGGAAGGATTGTTGAACCTGCTGCTGCAAAGTTGCATCCTTGCTGAAAATTTGGCAAACCCACTGAATCCATGTAGGCATTTAAGAATGGCAATTTCATTGCATCCACTGCAGTAATCAACCAAATGAATATGGAACTATCAATATATATGCTTAATTACCTCAATTATGTAGCTTAGATGTTTTGTTCACACTCTTTATGGACGAGAATCATTGCCATATGCTATAAATAATCAAATTAATCCGTTCTCTAAATTTAAAGTAATCAGTGAGTACTGTTACATGCAGCTGAAGAATTGCCACTAACATACCCTCTTCAAGAAAATGAATTCACACACATTAAATAAAATGTCCAGACGTCCTAAATTATAGAGAAGGAATTGGAAAATATTAACTAAATCTGGCATTGAGACTCATCGGGATTATTAATATTGACCACTGTTTCTAATAACTATAAGGGACTTGCTAATCATTACAGATCAATAAATAATTTTTATTATTATTAAAAATCATATAAGAGATGTATTAAAAATCACAATGAGAATGCATCAATAACAAATTTTAATAATGATAAAAAAACTTTGTATTTTTCATGCCTTAACCAGTTTCTTAAAGAAAAATACTATAATACTAACTGTAAATACAAAATAAGGATATCGGTTAGCATTTGCCTAGCTATAAGAAAAATTCATGAAAGATAAGAACTTTACTTAGGAAGTCAACTATGAGACGACCATTGCAGAACCTTCCAGACGGAGAATTGAAGTAGTTCTGTCCATTAGGTGGGGCAAGTAGAAAGCCCAACCCTGCAGCAAGTTCACCTGTGTCTGAGTTTGAATCACCGAAGTTGAAAACTGCTGGGTAACTGAACTCAACCGAATTTGCCACAGCCGAACAGAAGCAAAACAAGAAAACTTGAAAAAGAACCTTCTTAGAAACCATGGCACTTAACTCTCACTTCTCACTTCTCATGTGCAATGAGCCAAAACCCAACAACAGAGACAGAAAAGATACCAATTATATCTAGCTTTATGCGTGCCTTTTATGCATGAATTGCACACCCATTTGGTTGCTTCAAATGGCTAAATATGAATTACCAATAAGAAAGGAAAAGCTTGCTTATGATTTAGTTTGAAAGCAACTACATCCAAAAGGAAACCGTTCCTTTTGCTTTGCATTACCATTTTATTATCCTTATGCCGTTCAAGAAAAACCAAACTTAATTGCACTATAGAAATTAGACTATTCCATAAGTTAAGAGATGATCAACTTGGCTTGCATCTCCACGAGATTTTATTGCTTCTCCTCCATTGCTCTCCACGTGAACCTTACACACAGCAATGAAAACTGTGTCTGTGCAATCCAATGAGAGTGAAAAGATAGATGCATTAACCAAGTCCATATATTGTGTGTGTGTTTTATCTGCTGTGAACATTTGATTATTTTTATTTGTTTATTTTTTGGGGTACCCGTGAGTTTATTTAGCTAATGTGCCAAACCAGCACTAAAACATGTCAATTAGAGACAAAGCAAAATTGGAAGCGTGAATTTTGTTAACAGGTTCTTTAGAAGAGAAAACAAACAAGTAGTACACATAGCAACTGTACCTTATTGTCTTGTACTTACTAAAAATATAAAATAAAATAAAGAGGAATTTGATTAATTTACGAATCAATTATATATGAATTTTTGTACAAAATCTTGTTTAGAATGATATTTTGTTTTTAAGATCCATTATTTTTTATCAAAGATAATTTGCATATTTTTTCACAACAACGTTATAAATTGTGCGCAAAAACATGAAAAAGAAATCAAGTTCATATGAAGGAATGGTTTTTCTTTTTTTGGTCAGAGTCAGAGAACGAATGATTTAAAATTTATAGATAAAACATATAATTGTTTTTTGTCAGGAGTTAAAAAAATATTAAGAAAGATAATAATGGCCCAAGCCCAAAAATACTAAATTTTGAGCATCCTGTGAGATGGCCTGGAGAGGCCCAACCTGAGGAGGAATGGGCCTAGAGTGTTACAGGCCTACTCGATTGCATTTCGATTTTCTCACTAACGGAGTTGAAAGCATAAACCCTTGGAAAATCTTTAACGGTGTTGTTGTTCATCTGTGATCACTGTGATGTTTCTGCGTCGAAGTCGAAGATGATGACGCCATTCAAACGCTTACACATAGTTCGCACCCTCTATCGTTCATCTCAAAATGGAGAATCTTCTTCGTATCTGTGAGTTGCATTGTTTTCTCAGAAAATGCACGTTTGCCGTTGAAGACAAACCATTGTTTTCAGTTTGAAATGATACATTCTTCTAATTTTCCTTTACAGACTCGGTAGCTGCAAGAGTTATTCCTCTGCTCTATCAAACGGTAATCTCTTTCAACATAGATTCCTTTTTTGTCCTACGTATTTTGGAAAGAGATTTTATAAGAGAGAGCCATGCATTTGAATGATTCAGAATTGGGCTTTAACCTTCAATTTGTTCACGGTTCGTGTTACTTCTGCTTGATCAGGTTCTGAGGGTAATTTCAGGAGCTTCTATCCTCATTTGTTAAAGGGCTACGATGGCTTTCCCTTTGGTGGTGTAAAACCTTTGACACTACGATCTACGATGGTGAATATTCTTGAACATTCTAATGTCTCATCAGGAGTTTGAATTTTAGCTTTCTGGGATTTGACTTTCTAACCTTCATTGTTGTCTTTTTTAGGCTGCTGAGTTGTCTATTTTCTTGAATGATAAGAGGATGGTAACTACTCAAGCCAGAGCTTCACCACAAGCACGACAAATGGTACATTCTTAATTTTCTTCTCATCATTTTATGATGATCTAGTGTTTACTGCTATTCTTCATGTTATATGGTATAATCTATATACATTTTATCAAATTTTGATTATTATATTGGATTGATAAAGAGGTGAGTTTTGTTGTATTTAGGATGGTACCTGTTTCCTCTATCTTTCATTTGATGTTTAATGTTTCTCACTCCCAAAAGCAAAGCTAGCTCATAGGAGGAGGACTACCCTAGCCCTAACCTTAGCCTGACTCTATTCTTAACCAATATGCGACATCTTAACACATTCCCCTCACGTTTAGGACTGGACATCTACATGGGTGGACCTAATATGACTTGACATCTGTGGGCAGCCCAACGTTCAAACTGGATAGGCTCTGATACCATGTTAAGAAACTTGGGTCTAACTCACTCCTAAAGTTAGCTCTCCTAACCCTTATAAGGAGTATTCTGACTCTATTCTTAACAAATGTGGGACATCTTAACAGTTACTATTGCTCTCATTTCTGTACTTGTATACCAGATTATGTAGCCATTTAATTTATTTTATTTTACTAATTGAATTGAACTGCTAAATTTATTAATCATTATCTCATGTTTCCTTTCTATAAAAAAAATTATCAACTGAAGTAAAGGGGTTCTTTAAACAACCAGGAGTTTTTTTCTTCCTCTTCAATAAAGAGGGAGACTGGAACCTAAGATGTTGTCAGAGACAAAATCAAAAGGATATAGACTATATTATTAATGAAGAAGAAAATACTGCAGAATCAATTTTGCAATACCCAGAGTGAAGCTCCCACAAAGGTTCACACCCTTGCCTACTACCACCAACAGAAAAAAAAAAAAAACAAAGAAGCATAACTGACCTGTTCTCTCTCTTCCCCCGACTATATGAACCATTACACCTCAATCTGCTCTCCATGACTAATTTCTCTCTCTAATTCCCATTCTGCCCCTTCTTATTTTTCCTACTATATGTTTTCCAAATTCAAGGCCCGTCTCCTAATCTGACTCCCACCTTGGTCGTGTTGCCATACTTTAAACCCCAAGGATTCCACAATCTTTATTGGAATGAAATTATGAGAAGCTCCACTGTCAGAATCAATTTGCAATACCCAGAGTGAAGCTCCCACAAAGGTTCACACCCTTACTCACTACTAACAGAAAAAAAAAAAAAAAGGAACCATAATTGATCTGTTCTCTCTCTTCCTCCCACTATATGAAACATTACATGACAATCTGCTCTTCATGACTAATTTCTCTCTTCTAATTCTCATTGTGCCCCTTCTTATTTTTCTTGCTATATGTTTTCCAAATCCAATGCCCATGACTGAGTTGGATTGGACTTGTCCACTTAGGTTCATGGGACCTAACCGATGTTCAGTTTGCTTTAATTAAATTTAAGCGGCATTACAAAGATTTTGAATTTGATCATTCATAAATTCTAAAGTTCATAATATTCATAGCATATTAGCATTTAAATTGGCAGACCACCTGAGAAGCCTCCATTGTTTAACAACTTTAAAGAGGATATGTGCTAGATGTTAGTGCATGCACCATACATGTGTGTGTGTTGCACTACAACAGTCACCTAGACAGTTGGTGATCTATGTTGCATGGATATGGGTACAGTTTTGGTACAGGCTATGCGATACAGCATTTTCTTAAAAAATAGGGTACAAGTACGTCGATTAATATATATATATATATACACACACACATACACATAGAAAATTATACAAAATAAATTTGAAAAAACTGTATATAAAATTATGCACACAAATTGTAACATTCGTGGCTTGCTGTTGCTGGAGATGGTCGCCAGACTTGCCATCGCTGTTATCTGTTTTTGCCGCTTGCCAGTGAGGGCTGATGGTTGAGGTTCGAGATGGGAGGAGAAAAGCAGAAGTATGCAGTTTGTGGGTATGTGGAGGTTGGAGGAAGTATGGGTATGTGGAAGTTGGAGGGGAGAAAGACACAACCGCGTTAGTTTTGTGGGCAAAAAAAAACCCCAAAACCCTAAAATTTTGGTCCAAAAATTCCATTTCCTTAGCCAAACTGTACTCGCGTACCCACTTTCCATACCCAATTTTTTTTTTTTTTGCAAATTTTTTTGGGTACGTACCCAGGTGTACCCACGACATACCTGTACACGGTACTGGTATTCCATGGGAAGTGTCATACCCATGCTTTAGAGTTGATGATTAGGTTGATTCGAATTTGAGCTTTTATCTACTGCTTAACTATATTATACTACTCTCAAGGGATAACATAAATGAAATTGATCCATCGTAGCTGTCTGTGATCATTTAATTTGCTGATCAGGTAATAATTTTGATGCTTTGCTGACATATCATTGATGCAGGGAGCACAAATATCCATAACAAGTCCCGGATTTATCTATGAACCTTATGAACCTCGTGAGAAAATCTCATTTTGGAAGAGGTTAGATCACAATGGTTTTAAATCTCCACTGTTTATCCTTACCTTTTTTTCACCAACATTCTTCCATTATACACACGCGTAGGGGCATGCACACACACACACACACACACAACAAATTTAAAATTAGCATAGCTTTTTGTTAGTTTATTTTAACATTTCCATAATGCTGTATGTGCTAAGAATCATTTATGTATAGTATATTTCTAGCAATTTTCTTTCACCAATTTGACATGCCTGCAACCCTTGTATAGTATTACATTTCCTTGTAAACTATTATAATTATGCATCATGATCTGCTATATAATTTCTCTGATATTTGATGTATCAGATGGTTCACTAGAAGTGGTTGGAGAAGAACCAAAAATGACATAATTCTTGAGGTGATGATGTATATCACTTATTTTAATTTCTGCTTGCATTGTTCTCCTGTTTTAGAGAATAGAGTCTTACTATTTTGATCCAATAATTTCTGTTGATTTAAATTGTTCTTTTCTATTCTCTCTTTTCTTTTACCCCAATCATGGAAATTACAGCAGATTGTTGCTTCCTTTTAAGGAGGCTTTCCCTTCCTCTGTCTGATGTCTATTTTTCCCATTCTGTCTACTAAATATTCTCTTTTATGAGTGATAAGAAAAGAAAAAGAAGATTGAAATCATACTGAAAGTATTTTACCTGCACAGTGGACATTAATCTTGTTATTTTAATGGATGCTATCAATCGTCACCTTAATCTGAGTTTGTCGTTTGCTCTGTTGCAGCTTAAAAGTGCCTATGCTATTCAAAAGTTAAGAAAAGCAGGATATTCAAAAACACAGTTCTATAAGGAGGTTGTCAATATGTACAAGGAGGTTTGTACATTTAGTAAGATTTAATGTTTTACAACTCATGTGGACAGAATCTAACAACAACCACCGTTGTCTTTCCCACTGGGTGGGATCTGCTAAATAAATCAAACAATGCCATTGTGTTCCTGTCTTACAACTCATTCTTCCATTTGATAACAATCTTTTACTGATTGCTTGTTACTAAGCTACTTAGTAGAACTAAAATACATTTAGAGGAAAAACAAATATTGCATTAATTACACTTTTGGTCCCTCTAGCTTTAAACATGTTATATTTTGGTCCCCCTATTTTCAATTTGAATTAACATTTCCCTCGTTATTCAAAATTCAAATTGATGCAAATAAATAGTCTTTAATGTGCCGCATTATTTTTGTGTCAGCAAAGGTAGTGCCACATTTGTAAAACTGGCTAGCATGCCAACATGTTTGCTGGTGTGGCAATCTCTGCTGACAGGGAAATGGTGTGGCCAATTCCAAATCAACAATAGTAACATATGATATGGGTGTACTTTACATCAATTTGAAGATTGATGAGGACACCTTCATAGAAATCTGAACTAGGGGACCAAATCAAACCTGTTTAAATCAAATTTTAATTAATTTAATTTTATGCAAGTGATGAAAATTAGTTAAAATAATGAATGGTAAATATTTTGCTCAAAATGTGCAGTTGTTAAACTTGAAATCTTTTTTTATCCTTGATTTACTGTCGTGATGACTTCAAATCCCCATTTATCCTTGATTTACTGTCATGATGACTTCAAATCCTTGGGGATTTAATTTTCTCGTGTCATCCATCAATGTAATTGAACAGATTTTCTGCCTGGGAAGCAGATATGTAAATAGTATTTGATGCTAGTTTAAGAAACAAATTCTGTCGCGCTGCCAGACCTTGTGTGAACTGTGATTTGATGCTTGCAGTTTCCTTGTCTATGCTCATGTTTCTTTTTTTTTTTTTTCTCCAGATAAACACACTAATAGCTAATGGCGACAAAAGATCATTAAGGAAATCAGTTACTGAGAAGATGTTTTCTGTATGCTTCAGTTCCTTTGCATGATTTTACATACTGGATTATATGTGCTATGATGCAGCTCTTTACATTTTTTTCATCAAAATTTCTATAGTATAGTTTAATTTATTAAATGTTGTGTTTCATTTTCTTGTCCACAGGCACTTAAGAATGAAATTAAGCAAAGAGAAACTGCATCATGGAGCCAGGTATATTGGGAAATGGTTGAGCCAGTTGTCAAGATACGGACGTTGCGTGCTCGTCTGGTTAGTATTCTTCTTCACTGTATTTATAATTTGATGAAGATGATATGATGGCTCAAAAATAATGTAGCATGTATATTAAAATAAGAGAAAGAACACCTGCCTTACTGGCATAGGGGCATATCAAAGAATTGACATTGTCAACTTGCTAATGTTGAGGCATTATTGATCAAAATTTGATCCCATTAGATCTAGTAGTTATATATACTATATAGCTATTATTTGCTCTGGTAGGATATATTGTTGGAGGTGTTCTGATCATTTTACAAGTGAAAACTTTGAATTTTACTTCATGGCTTATTTGTAAAGTTTCTCTGAACATGTCCCTGGGGGTAATTGTTATTTCTTGTTGGCACCATGAGCAAAACTTTTTTTCTGCTGCATTGACCTTTTCTGGGATTATATATTTAAACAAAATTGTAATTGGTATTTCCTTGCTTCAAGTATGATGACAATTCTAGAAGTGTTAATGAATTGACCAGGTCATCTTAGTATGTATGTATGTGCTTTATAACCGACTAGTTTTTTGCAACAGAGCAGATTATTTATGATGCTGCGTTGTACTTGTCACTCTCTCGTGCGTGCACATTTTGAAATTGGTATTTTGCTTTTCAACATAATGATTTTTATGCTGATTTCCTGATCAATTACAGATTGGAGTTGATCGAAAAGACCTAAATAAAGTATTTATTCAGCTTACTCTTGAGATTTTGGCTAAACAGGTATGTTTTATGCACAGTAAAACTAGTCCAATCCCAGAAAATTTACACCCATGAGTAGCAGGAATTTCAATAACTCAGAATAGTGAAATAATGTTATATTAATTGCAGAAATTTGCAGCATATGACTCAAAAGGTTCTGTTGTAGCTGGAGATAAGAACAAGGAGGTAATGCTATTAAATTTCTTTGCTTCCATTCCATCCTTTGGGCCTTCCTTGATATTCATTCCCTTTTTCATTATGCCAAGTATAAAAATCCATTAAATTAAACCACCAAGGAAAAGATAGTCACTTCTTTCTTCATTGGCTTCTTGCTCATCAGTACGGAGGAAGAATAGAAGGGAACGGCTTAGAATTGATTTTATGTGGCATGGCTTACATTGTTGGGTACTCATTCATTTTCTAGTGAAATGACATGATGTTATGGCAGAGGGAACTTCATGTTGTTTTAATGATGCATCATTTTGTTTACTCAAGTTCAGTGCATTGCTATTTATTTTAGATAAAGGTCTCCTTCCCTTCGCCCTGATTGCTAGTTTCCTATGTTCCAGGTTCTTGTTCGTGATATATGGGTATTTGAGAAGTCTATGTTTCACCCCGGTGCATACTGGCGTCTGTGTGGACGGATATCCCCAAAAACATGATGGCCTTGAAAGAAGAAACCAAAGTTTATGATAGTTGGATGTTCCTGTGTTGTAACTTATAACTGTTAAGCGGAATTCGTATATTTGTCACTGGAGCATTGTCCTCTGAATAAGTAAAATATAGGTGTAAACCTATCCAAATTTTGTTCTTTGAATTAAATCCATTTGGAAATTTTTTATTTTATTTTTCCCTTCCTTTTTGCTCGTTTGTTCTCCTTATCTGTCTCATTCCTTGGTGGCAAATTGGAAAATAATTTCTCGATCCATAGAAACCATACGGGAAAGCAATTCGCTAACATCTCTATAATTAATAAAGAAAACGTGGAAGAATGGGTAAAGTGATTCCATTCTCCAAACCTGCAATTCATTATTACAAATAGATTGACAGTTCCGTATTAGTTTGACAACCTTGCTAATAATTTGGAAAGATTCCCTAAAACACGCTTATAAATTTTGGTTACTACATTAGTCCTCATTAATTGCATCCCTCAAATGTGCTCTTGCCAAGCCAAAAACATGATCAGAGCGTGGGAGATGCAAAATTAAGCAATGCCCTATTATATTCTTGCTTTCTACTTTCAGATTCAATAGCAACTTTATAAAGACTGAAAACTTTTTAGTTAACATCCCTTCCAAGAAAAGCAAAGTATATCTTTCAAGTATTTTCAAAATCTACTTCCCGATTTAGACTTCTATATTCTTAGTTCGTGGTGGAATTAATGAATCTCTTCTTCCACCGTACCCATTAACACAACCTAACACCCTTTTCACATCTTTATCTCTGGTTAAAGTTTTAGCAAATGGACCAAAGAAAAATCCATCTTCAACCAATGGGTATCTGTTACAGGCTATACAATTTCATCACCAAAACTCTGGCTTCCCAAGCATTAAAAACGGTGACTTTAGGGCGTACTACACGTTACAGTTCAAACTCATTTGCAGTAACAGATTCTGAGTCTGAAGCTAACAAGAAGGTAAGATCAGAGACACCAAGCAAAGATGATCATGATGACAAGACACTTCCACCAAATGAAGGTATCGTTGGTGACTCTATTTCTTCTAATGCACAACAAGCTGAAGAGAAGAAAAACCCATGCATGAACGGTGATGAGGTGACGGTAGAGAATGTGGCATCAACTTTGCCAAAGGGAGGTTTGCAACAAACGAAATCTATAAAGAAAACGGTAAGCATAAATGAGAAAGTGGAAGAGATTCCCCCAATACCGAAGTTGAAGAAGAAGAGGAGCTGGTCCTTCACAAAATCAAGTTCTTTTGAACAAGACCAAGAAGAAGCAAAGCCTCCGCGTTCAATTCTGAAACAGAGTTCTGATCTCAGTGATACTTCCAATACCATTAGTTAATTTCACGTTTACGTTTGTAACATTGTTGGAGTTTAACAATTTAATTTATATTAGAATAGCATACAGCAGCCAAGTGTGAATGTGCCGGGTGGCCTTATAATCTCTATATTCGTTGATAATTCCGAAATTAGAGTTGTTCTTTTTATTTTATACATTTAAATATTTCTATGCCCTCTTCAAAAGAAACTTCAGTTCTAAGCAATCATTTTATTAAATTCATAAGTCCTCTCTCACGTGAGTTTTTTGCAAGACAACGTGATACGGATAGATATAAAAACTTCGCATGTGACTCGAACAAATTTTGTCATGTGCAAAACCTGTATTTTGTTTCTAGACATCACCCTGTCGTATAAAAATAAACAAAGAGAAAGGTCCAGATTCATGTGATCTTGTCGGCATACACGATAAAAACAAAAAAAATGAACTGAGACTAAACCATAAAAAATCACAAAAAGAAGCATGAATTGTTTTAATACAATTATACAAAGCAAGTTTCCTACTAACTGTGTAAAATTGCTTAGTCGACCTACAATTAAAAGGTTATCTATTGGAACGTCCAAATTGTCAATTTTATTATCTTGATTTTCCCTTTTACATTCTATTGAAATTTCTTCTTCTATTATTAATTTTTTTAAAAGAAAAATCAACCCAATACATGTTAGAAATGAATCCTTAGACCCAGATGGGAAACAAGCACACTATGCACATACACTAAAAGAATTAGTTTCTTCTTCATTTTCCACAGCTTCATCATCAGAGTCAGGAAGATGATCAAAAAAAGCATCAAGATACCAAGAGCATTGATCATTCCAGTCACCCCTGCACGCTGTGGAACGCCATTTTTGGTCAGCTATCATCTCAGGAGAGAGACCCCATTCTAGCATTTCTTCTTCTGTGTGATGAACAGCTAAACTGTATTCTCCACCACTTCCCAATTGCATAACACGGAACTCACAATTTCCAAAATTATTGAGGTGCTCAAACTGTTCAACCGTCCACTTGAACCACTTCATTAGGAAAATTCGTGATGTTAACCCGTGAGACACAATTATCAGGTTCAGATCATTCGAAGGATCATGACGAAGCCTATTCATGTCTATGTCCCTCCATAGAGATTCAAAGAAACCTGCAACTCAATCAAATAAGAAACATCACAGCCAATAAAAAAGATACGGGTAAGTAATCAAATTAGTCCTTAGCATCTGTCATATTAGTTTTTGAAATGAAAATCAATTCTTATGCCACAAATTTTAATAATTAATTTGACTCATGAAATACATATCTAGATCTAGACCACTTTCTTCAGATATTTTTATCAATGAGTAAAATAGAATATATGGAACAAAACAAATATACTCTCTCATATTCAAGTTCACTCTCCATACTAAGGAGGAAAAATAATAATAAATAAAATAAGATATTATAATTGCATCACATTCCAATTCATCCTATTTCAAATATTTTAAATAATAAAATATAATACTATTTTACTCTACTCAAGCCTATTTCATCTTCAAAGAATTAATTTAGGATTAAATATCACATAAGTATTTTTTAATAAAGAAAACATTAATTCAATATTTAAAATATTATCACTTAATTTGATAATTAAAATTACTAAATACAGCAATACAATCTTTAAAATGAAGTAAATATTTATTTAAATTCTTTAAATTATAATAAGTATAGGTGAATTTAGTCTTCAATTTTATATAAAAAAATCTTGAATTCTTGACTTCAATAAAAGACGTATAAAGAGTAAAGTGAGATTTTAGGAATCAAATAAAGATGGTTGAGAACGAAGCAGTGGATGAAAAGAAAAGGAAGAAGAGAGATAGTTACTTGAAACGCGATCAAAAACATCGGCGGCGGATTCTCCCTCGGGGAAGCGATAGAAGAATCTACCGAAGCGTTGGCGAGTTTCCTTGATGACCTTCATTCTCTCTTCCACTTGAAAGTTCCCAAAATCTTGTTCTCGAATCCGCGACTCTTCCCTCACACCAATTACTCTCTTCTTCGAAAAGCATCTACCAACCTCCCTCAGTGTCGATCGGGTGCGCGTGTACGGAGACACGTAGAAATACGCTTGCCAATAAGGGGAGCAGCCGCCGCCGCCCATCACGCGGCGGAGCTCAGCGCCGGCGTGGTGGGCCTGGGCGATTCCTTGGGCGGTCAAGGGAATGCTGTGGTCGGGGGTGGTTGTGTACGTCGCTGTGTCGAGGTTCCCTTGTGATTCTCCATGCCGCATCAGTATTATTCTCTTTGGAAGCACTCCCATCACCATTTTCTTCTTCTTCTTCTTCTGTTACTCTTTTTTTTCTTATCTTTTCTTGGTCTTTATTTATAAATATTTATAACATTGGAAATGATTTTCAGAAATTGGTCAAGCCGCAGCAGCTGTAAAGCGTAAACGTGTACAACAAACTCCACCTATCAATTTTATTTTATTTTTTTTACAAATTATATTTATGCGTAAAAATTAGATAAGACTGTTGAAAATAATTGTTTGAATAATCTGGGGTTTCTAGAGAGAGAATCAAAATGGTTATTTTGAAATAAATAGTTGTTGAAATTTGAACGTGTTACTGTTTTCAAAGCAAGACTGAAGATAAATTCTGTCACTCTTGACCAAAGAAAAAGAAAAAAAGGGGTAAATTGTGCCACTTGTTGAATTCTCAGCCTTCACTCCTTCACATTGATGTTCACACCTATTTTTTTAGTATAAAATAAGTAAAGGGAAGAAAGATAAAACAAAAAATAAATATAAAGATAAGAGGTGTGTGAGTAAATTTTTGGTATCTTCTGCTACGTACTCTTTTCTAGTTTTATTTTTTTATTTAGTAATTTTATTGTTAATTTTAATTTTAAATTAAGAAAAAAACTAACCATAAATAATGTTGTTATTTTTTATTTTTTTACTGAACAAAAGAGTTAAGTCTAAAATAACAAACTTAAAAGAAACTTCTTAAGATTTAAAAAAAATAATAGTTTGCTCAAGATAATAAGGCATAAATTTCTCGAAACTTAATTTAACTAATTTATTGGCAGATTAATTAAGTTTTCTACAAACATAAGTAAACTTAATAAATCTAATAGATTTTAATAACTCCCTAATATTATTAATTAAAGATAATAATGGATGGGAATAAAATTGAACTTTTAAAATTACAAGGAGAGCCTCATTCCAGTTATTTTCAATCCAAATAACTTGAAAGTCTTTATGCAACACCAATTATACCCCAAAGTAAATACTCTATCATTCAGCAACTAGGAGAGAACAAGAATAAGGATCAATTATAATATAGGATGTAACTATATATTAGCCTTGACAATCACATATAAGCTCTCCACAAACAACAAATTAACATAGGAAAAAACATCATCCACGTTCAATTTGACCCAGAGTTTGGAGGAATCTATTTCATGTGACTCTGATCATTAGCAAGCCTTGTTGCAGGAATCCATTTCAAGTAGAACTATTCCTGCAACAAAAATTAAAGAAACCAAAGTCAGAAAAAAAAAATATGAACCATTATTAGGCTAGAAGAGCAAGCCTGAAAAATAAAAGCATTCCTATCCTTCCAAATATGTTAAACAATCTATTCCAACAATGAATCTTGCAAAAAAAAAAAAAAAAGAAGAAGAAGGAGGATAAATTTAAAACCAGCTACTCCAATAACTCACTTGTCTCTAAATTTTATCTTCTCAAATACCTTATAATTTGTAGATTTTCAGAGAACATAAAAATAAATTTTAATTAAAACAAATAACATAAAATTTAGAAGAAATTATAATTTTTCTATGGATGAATTTGTTCACAAAATTAACAAGAGAGTAAAGTGTACAAAGTAAATCATGACTTAGTAATTATACTATACTGAAATATTTAACTGAAACATACATATACTAAATTTCATTTACATATGAACATTGTAATAATTTACAAATTGTGAATCAAAAAGTTGTAAGACTTAGAATAAATATTTACATAACCAAAATAAGTTAAGTCCTATGAGCAGTCCCCATTCACACCCATACACTGAAGACTTGGTCCTAGTCATCAATATTGTGTCAGCCCTATATCTCGGCCGAATCCTCAGTAGTCAATTCTTTATCTTCTCTGAGGTAGGCATCACCAGAATTTGCCACAACCTCTATGTTGGAAAATCTCTTAAATGTATACTAGATGAGTCTCTCAAAAATATCATGGAAGATAAAAACATTATTTACAATCCTTAAGGGCCTAACTGTCCATTGGTAGATATTAAAACTAAGGATATGATGGATATGACTATTTACAGAGAACTCAAAAAGGAACATTATAATTTACATTCATTTCTACAGCCATACATTATCATCCTCACAATCCATATTAAAGTTAAAAAACACACAACGTTGATACTCCTTAAATTCATAATTTATTCTACAACTAACAAGATAGTCTACTAATCTAAATTATCTTTGTGGTACCGACATCCTTATTCCCTGAAATATTTAGTAAAGATAAACATTTATCTTATCAATTAAACATAGCACTATTTTAAAGGCAATAACACAACACGATCATAATCATGAAACATGAGAAGACATAATAATATTAATCTTAAAAGCAATATATCACATATATATGCATTCCATCACAAGTCATTATGTTCCTCTCTTGCAAATACGCACTCCTAATACTGTGATCGCAAATATACGATGCCTCCAGCAGTTCTTGAGGTTTTACATAATCAGGTAAATAGTCGTCAGTTAGCCCATGCATACAGATACATCATGTACAATAACGAACCCCTTAGCAAAGGTATAGTTAGGAAATGAGTGTAAGGCCATATGACCCATTCGCTCTTAGAAAAAGTGTGTATACATGTGCGTATGTCGCTCACCACCCTATGTTTCCTCCAAATTTTCCATCGCCTCCGGACTCTATATCCCTAGTGTATCTCTATAACTATTCACACTAGATCCATTCAACACTTTATACTCATCCCATATTCTTTTTAGTGTCAATCTTATTATTCAAGTAAAAGATCGTGCTTAGTAAAGCACTCTCGGACTAAGTTCAAAACATGCATACTACCAAATATAGTACAAACACCTAAAATCAGCCAAACATGCTTAAATAACCTTTCACTACAATCCAATATCATTTAATCATATATTTACATACAAGAAAACACACAAAAGTATTCTCATGAGTACAAAATATTCACTATGCTTAAAATAGCAAAATAGAGCTCTCCTTATTTTGAAACAAAGTTTTGAAGGAGGGTTTATGAGGGGTTTCAGTAAAAAGTCTAAACTTTTCCTAGATATCACAAAAGAGAGCATTTTGAGAAGGAAGAAACATATAAAACAAACAAAAATGAGAGAATTAAGCTCCAAGAAGTTACCCGGAGTTGATTGGGTGAACTTCCAAGCCCAGATTCAGAGGAAAGTCGAAGTTTAGGGAAGATTTTATGAGAATGGAGGGTTAGAAGTCAGAGAGGACAGGGGAGAGGTCAAAACTTAGATTATAATCCAAGTTTTCTAGGTTAAAAACCCTTAAATACCCCTTAACTTACGACATTCTCGCTACAACGAGCTATCTCTCGCAGTAGCAGAAAAATCAAACAAAATTTTCCTTTGCTATATGTTATTCTAGCTATAGCGAGAGCTCCTCGTTATAGCGAGGGAACGTAAAAAAACCTGATTCTGGACGTTCTACCTCGCTATAGCGAGATATCCTGCAACTTACATCATTTAAACTCTCCAAAATTTAATTAATTGACACATAAAACCAACACTCAATACATCACTACTAAAAAAAAAAACAATTTAACTAGGTAAAATAAAATGGTTTCAAACATTTCTAGTATAAAAATAATCTTGGAGAACATGCTTAATAATTTCAAGTGTCTCACCGCATTAGGGCAAGTAGAAAGGTTAATCATTCCTCTCCTAATTTTTTCTTCATTGGTCAATAATTTACTATTAGTTATTTTTCATAGAAAAAATTAATTTATTTTAGGAGGGTCGTCTCACATCTAAACTAAATTAAAAAAATCAATAAAGGGAGAAAAATATTGAATATTTTCATACATTACTTTAAATTTTTTATAAATTTATAAAACAGTAAATATCATAATTATTGATAATAAATATTTTTATATCAAATAAAATTAAAACACATAAAAATTAAAATTTAAAATAATATAATATAAAAAATCACTTGATATGATAAAAAATAATAATTCTTCAAAATAGTCTTAAGATTTTTTTTCTTTTTAAATAAAGCTCTAGTTTAAAAATTAGTACGTATTTATGTATATATTGATCGGAAATGACTTATGATTTTATTATTTTTTTAATTATATCATGTAAGTTTTTTTTTTACATCAAACATTTATTTCCTAAAATCAATAAATTTAATTTATTTAAAATTTTTTATCTCTTTCACTTAGTTTTTAGGCGTGTAAATTAATTTATAAGTTTAAAAATTGTGATCGTTACCTAACTTGAGTAAAATTTGATGAACGATGCTTATAATCTAACCTATGAAGAGTTAAGTTTAAAATTTAAAATACTCTTATAATATATAATTAAAATATTGTAAATTATTTCTAACAATTTTATAATTTTTTTAAAAATTCAAATGAGTCTCCATGATTTTCATTATCATACTTATGTATTGATATTATTATATCATAATTGAAATTAAAATAGTATACATGTAAAAAATGTAATTTTACAAATATAAAATGGCTAGTAACAATTTCTCTTCAAGTTTAGAAAAAAAAAGTTTATTCTAACAAAATAGGATACAATATTAATTATTCATCATCTGTGTCATATTCTTTGACATTTTTTGTTTTCTCGTCTTCTACTAAATTTTTTGCTAAGTTAATATTTTAATAATCACTTTCTTCTTCATCACCGTCAACTTCTGTAAGTACTATTAGCCTTCCATTAACAATAGGTTGTGTTTAATTAATCATATTCAAATATTATACTTAATCATTACCCAATGCTTAGGTACACAAAAATTAAACCAATTACATCATTTTTCTTGACACATGTAACATTCTTAATTTCTTAATTCAATTTTAAGTAAAAATAATAATTTTATGACAAAATATGAAAAATAAAATAAAGTTCTTATACGTATAGTATTAAAATGTAATAAATTTAATTTTTTTTGCATGATTCGAGTTTAAAAAAAATATAAACAAGGGTATTTCAAAAGCAAAAAAAGATAAATTATTCCTTAATAAATAAATTTACACGGGAACAAATAAGGAATATACATAAATTATTTTTTATTGATGTGCAAAAGTTTAATA